ATCCACTAGATGTTGTTCTGATATGTGCATTTATGTGTTGATTAGTTAATACCAATTTGATGGTGAGTACAAATGGGTCCCGTTCTGCTGCTCTTGTGCTGCTCCACTTTGCACCTATAAGCACTAATCTTATGTTGTAATTATGAGTGAGCAAATCATAACAATTTCTAAGATTTTGTAGGATTCCTTATTTTCAACTTGTAAAATTGATAATTTGGCAGAGGCATTAAGCATTTTCCAAATATAACTCCAAAATGAAATATATTTATTAAGCCCAAACATGAGTCCATACCTTTTCAACAACTTGCCAAATTTAAGGGACAGCATTTTCTTTCTCCTGTTCTCTTACATCATCCCAATTTATTCTTTTCAAACTTTTTGAGTCATTCATTTCACATAATTTTCACTAAAAATCATGATGATTTATTTCTTTATTCCTATTGTTATATCTGTGCATTTCAATTATTTTTTGTTTATTTATTTGCTCTTATTTATTTACAAGTGTGCAATGGGAGATCTTCCATTAATTCTCTCTGCATTACAAAAAATTTCTAGCTCAAGAAATACTTTTATAATACAGAGAAATCTGTATAGTTATTTGAGTACCTCTTAATGATTTAATTTTTTTTCTGCTTGAGAGTGTCTTTAAAATATGTAACATGTAAGAATTTATTTTGAGTGCCCAAGTGTACTTTTTTCCTTTTGTTGTTTGTTTTACTATGAAAATTATCATCTTATATTAGTATGCTTTAAATTGTTTGACAAACCCTATGTTTTTTTCTGCCTGGTATTACCAAGGCATATTCACTATCTAAAAATTCCTTTTATTTGCATTTTTTAAAAATCATAAAAAATAATTTTTTTTCAGTATGATTATATGGGATCTGAAATGATGGCTGTAACTCACAAAATTATCCAGATTTTTGGGCTTGTCAACACTGTAAGTTTTTTACTTTTTTCTATTTCTTATTTAATGAAAATTAATTTAAAATAACTTTCATTCTGTCATGGCAAATTAATGACAAATACTGTTTATTAGTTTAATACTCAAAATACTCATATCAACCTTTTATTTATTCTTATGTACTGTTTTATTTATTTATTTTGTATGTATTGTTTTAATGTAATGATTTGTATTACTTGAAAAATACACCATAAATCTTATTTTTAGATGTTTACCCAGTTCAAGTTGACTGTTATACTGTCCTCCTTGGAATTGTGGTCAGATAAAAACAAAATTTCCACCACCGGGAATGCTAATGACATATTACAAAGATTCTTGGCCTGGAAACGGGACTATCTCATCCTACGGCCCCATGACATAGCATACTTACTTATGTAAGCACAATGTTATACATTACTAAAGGGATGCGTTATGCGTAATTCCATTAAATTGGTAATTTAATGCATTTATTATGTTCTTAAACTCTTGCTAGGCTTCTTTGAAAATGTTTTAAAAATATAGATTTTGACATGGAGATGAGAGTTTACTTGGGAATATAATAAAAATGACAATAATTAGTTTTATGTCAGTATACTTTGGAGTATAATTGTGGGAAAAAATCTGTGTTGCTTGAACTTTTATGATATTGACTTTACTACAGAATACTTATAACCATTAGCTTTTTACTGATGTAAAAATTGGCACCATTCAATTACAATTATCCATTCTATGTTGTTATTCATGACATATATATTTTTGACTAAGATGATTTGGCAATATTTTGATAATATTTAATTTAAAAAGTGCTTACCTTTAGGGCAAGTTTGCCTCT